TGTACTTCAACCAAGACCACCGTCTATGCTATATTTCTCATACAGAAGGGTGGTGCAAACTCATTAACTGGTGGCCATGGCATATAGCCAGGTTAAAAGCTGGTGGCTGTGGAAAATATGTTCCTCTCTCATGGATTGCAGTAAAAGAAAAACAACAGCAGCACCTCACACTTGCAAAGCATGACTGACCTTCTTTGATCCACACAACAACCCATTAGGCAGGGCTGGGTCATGTACATTACCTCCATTTCACAACCAGGCTCAGAGAGGTTGCAGAACTTCTCCCAGATTACACAGTTAGTGGGTGGAGGGCTGGGCTCCTCCCTGAGCCTTTGGATTCCCAATCCAGAGCGCCTTTCTTTACACATGGTGCTAAAAACCTAGCGATGCTCAGTGAACATTCCAGCAAAGTCCAGGTGGCTTTTCTTTGGAGCTCAATATGCCTTAGGACACAGGAAATCTTGTTCTCTCCCCATCAGAGCATCTTCACTGGTGTATCCAGTCCACCCAGGTCTCTCTATAGGATGTTGTTATTGGATGGGCTGTGTGCAGGGGTATCAAAACTAAACAGGGCTGGGCTGTGCCAGGACTACTTCACCCTCAAACAAAAGGGATGCAAAATCAGTTGGCAGAAAGAACCAGGAACCACGGCTGCCCAGTGTTCTATCTGCTTAGTGGATCACCAAGGCTGAGGTCAGCATTGCTGTCTCCACCTCTTCAGGGCAGAACAGTACCTGAAAACTGAGCCTGGGACTCCCTGGGGATTCTATACCTGTCAGCCACAGTCCCTCTGAGTCCAGCTCAGCCCTTCATCTTTCCTGGTGCCAATTACTTAAAAGAGGCCAGGTCAGTTTAGGATGCACTGTGCTGTATTTATCCCTCTGGAGAAGATGGCCAGTAGTTGGTACAAAGAAAGACCAAACAGCCCCCAGCACTGTCCAACTGAAATCCTCATTCAGAAAAGGAATTTATCACTAACCCAGTTCTGGGATGATATTCAAAATACTGAACAACTGGTACAACATGGGCACTAACCAGTCAGGATGTCCCATGGGAGATAGAGACTGCTTGCTCTTCCCAGTACTACCCCTGTATAACGGGGACAGAAGGGGGCACAGTGTGGGGCAGTGGGCTTGAGTACATACAGGATGTACGACTACCAGGTACACATAGGATGAATTAGCAGCATTGCTCAGCAGCCTAGGATCCTTGGGACTAGAGGTATTAAAAAACACAATTCAAGTTTAAATACTGAATATTCAAACATGTAATGAATGAAATCTCTCTTCTCTTTTCTTGTGCACTCAATAAGTAAGATAACAAAACAATGGAGAGACTCTATGCTGGAACAGAATTGCAGTAAACTCATCAATGTATCAACCAACTAAAAATATTTGTTAAAAGTCAATAGATCAACCTCTTCTTCTTCTAACAGTAATCAATAGTCCTTAATAGTAGTGCTGTTGTTGTAAGTTGCTGAGCCTGACTCATGGCAACCCCATATGTGCAGAGAACTACTCCATAGGGTGAGCAAAGGTAGACTTTTCAGAAGCAGATCAATAGCTTGTCTTCTGAGGTGTGGGTTCAAACCACCAACCTGGCTAGCAGTCAAGCAATTAACTGTACCACCCAGGGACTCCTCAATAGTAATAGCAGCTTTAGTCAATTAATCTCATTTAATTTTCATTAAAACCCTATCAGATTATTATTCTCATTATAGAGACTAAAAAAAAAAAAAAAACTGAGGCATAAAGAGAAGTTAGGAAATTCCCTCAATGTCACACAGTTGCTGGTCCTAAAATCTAGTATAGTCTCAGAACCCCTGTGCTCTGCTGCTTCCCTAGATATCATGCTAGTAAATAGAACCAAAATACCAATTGTAGTTCAGAGATAAGCCAGGGATACCACTTCTGGCTGGAGTGGTTGGAGAAGTCTTTACAGAACAGGAAGTATTTAAGCGTAGAGGGGGACTCAGTGTCATGAGTCCAGAAAGGGTTCTGAGATGGGTTGCACTGTAAATCAGATCCACAGAAGATGGTCCAAGAAGGGAACAGGAGAAAACACCGGTGGGAATATGGGCTGGATTGTGGTGTACATATCCTTACTCGATTAAGTTAAACCAGTATTTTAGAGAAATCCGTCTGGCTGGAGTCAGTCTGCTCGAAGCTACTAAAGACACAAGGTGGTAAGGGACCAAAGAGGAACAGGGTAGTGAGAAAGGACAAAGGGGATAACCATAAGATACTGGGGGAAGAGAGAAGAAAGAGTCAAGAGTAACCTCAAGTCTCAAAACTGAGTAAAAGCAGGACCCATTCTAGAGTTAGGGAGGCAGGAGGTAATGGTCTACTCAGTGACCTGCCCAACAGGAGAGCTGAAGACTCAAATCTCCCCCAGTCCTATTCCTTCTCAGGGGTCATGCAATCTACGAAACAATTGAGAAAGACAATCTTATCAATGAAATGATAGCCCTCCCTGTGAGCAGGGCACACTATCAACAACTGGGGGACCACACACTTCCCATTTCTCCCCCAACCTCACCAACACAGCAGAGATGTGCTTGGAACCTCTTGGTGAGAAGAACAGAAAAGCTAAGAGACATTCACCCAATCCCTTTCTTGTTCCAGAAACATTTTGGGTATGAAGTCTTGGAAGAGCACATCTGAATACACAAATCCCCCTTATTAGCTGTATTATTGCTACCATTTAGGGGATCACTAAATGGCAGGCTTTAAGTATTTATCTCATTCCAGTCTCATAGCAGAAGAGTTAATTATTAATCTCATTTTAAAATGAGAAAGAGGACAAGTAAATTTATAGTGCAATTAATTGGCAGACTTGGGATCTCAAGGCAGGTCCTGGCCTGATTCCATGAAATCAATCAGTGCCTCTTGTCTGTGCCACCTTCTGGGTGCCTTTTACTTTAGTGGACAACACGGTCCAGTGCAAGCCCAGATGATGCTGACAGCAAATTGGCTGCCACAGAGAAAAGGTTATACCCTCTAGTGGGTTCAGAGAAGTCATTGAGAGCAGGTTTCTCATCTTGTTTTCTTTCTTTTCTGTCCACTAACTGGACACCCTGCTTCCACTCTTGTTCTCCTAGATGGTTTTTCACACCTCAGGTAGAGTCAATCTTCTAAAACTTATCTGATGATTCCTACACTCAAAATTTTCCAAGAGCTTCCTACCTTACCCAGAGCATAATCCAAATGAGATTATTAGGCCCTTCATGACTGGCCCTTCCTCTCTGCCTTCTTCTCCCTGAATTCATTTCCTTCCTTCTTCTCCCTTGTTCACTACTTTATAAGCCATTCTGTCCTTCTTACTATTTCTGGGACCCACAAAAGATGTTCCTAGCATATTGTTTTCCCAGATACACACAAGACTCCTTCTCTCACTTCCTTCAGGTCCCTATACAAATGTAACCTTTATAGGAAGGCCATCCCTAAACATTTATTAAAAAGAACACTCTTAACAATTCTAGGCTGTCACCCTCCTTATCTGACTACCTCCGCTTCAGGTGATCAGGTAGGAAAATTTTCACTGCACTCTGTGCAGTGAAATATAAAACTCCTGGAATATAAAACCAGGTTGGGGCAGATCCATAGGGTCCTTTGTACATGGTACAAAGACAGGAGGTGTGCATGGATGTTTTCTACGCACCCAGACCACTCGTGTTGGAACTTTTCCTGTTGTACACTATCTTTCGTCTGTGAGTAATTAAATGGTTTTCATTACTGTCAAAACAATAATAACACTCTTCCTTCCCTTCACTGACCTTTTTGTCTCTTACCTTCTTCATAGCACGTATCAGCCCAAGAGTCATCTTCCTTTCTCTTTTTGCTGCCATTCTCTTCCCATTGGGATATAAGGCCCATGAAACTGTCCATTGTATAGTTCCCTGCACTATCCCCAACACCAGTGTCTGGCACATACTAAAGTTAAACCAAACTCACTGCTGTAGAGTCAATTCCAACTCATAACAACCCTGTAGGACAAAGTAGAACTTCCCCAGAGGGTTTCCAAGGCTATAATCTTTATAGACGCAGATTGCCACATCTTTCTCCTATGGAACAACTGGTGAGTTTGAACCATCAACCTTTGCATCAGCAGTCAAAGGCTTAACCACTGTGCCATCAGGGCTCCCTATCTGGCACGTAGTAGGTGTTGCCTGAAGAATGGATAAATGGGTGGCATTATGGACTGGTGACAGAAACTATACCAATGGGAAGGACATGCAGCAGAGCCACAAAAGGGCTCTGGAAGGTTGGCAGAGGTACCATTATGTCAACTTGAGGCACAGGGTCAGAAGGTGAACCAGGGAAGGTTAGAATATGACTCAAAAAGAAGAGGACTAAGACACAGTTGGGAGCTCTGGTAGCATAGTGCCTAAGGCATCTGACTGATAACCAGAAGGCTGGTGGTTCATACACACCAGCCACTCCTTGGAAGGAAGATGGGGCGATCTACTTCTGCAGTGATACTGCCTCAGAAACCCAAGGAGGGGTCTCTATGAGTCGTGTCCAACTCGACGGCACATAACAACAACAAGACATGGTCACTGTGCATTACATGGAGGTCACTTGGTGACCAAAAGAGGACGGTGACATGACACTGGGTGAATCAGCAAAAGGTAGACACATGACTTTGAGGTGGAGGATGAGCAAATTATTTGTAGCTTAGCTTTTAGGCCTCTGTACTGCAGTGGGAAAGGATCAGACAGTCACTTGATAGCAACTGGCTTTTAGGAGGCCCTGGTTGGTGCTAATGGTTAATTCACTCAGCTGCTAACCAAAAGGTTGGGGGTTTAGGCTTGGTGACATACTTCCACCGAAAACCCCATGAAGCACAGTTCTGACACATATGGGTCACCAGGAGTCAAAGTCCACTCAAGAGCAATGGGTTTTATCAAAGATAAAGATGACCATTTAGGCCAGAGGAAGTATCTAAAAGAAATCCTTAGGTTTTGACATCAGTTTAAAAGTTAAAAACTGAATACTTACAGTTCTGGGTTCAAATGTATACAGAGCTCTGAAGACTTTAACTTGCCCTAAAAGACAAGGAAAAAAAACACACACACACAATCAATTCTTCCATTTTTAAATTTACTCTAAAAGGCATTATCCATTACACCCCTCAGAATTCCCTAATTAAAACCCCATGTGAGAAATTTATTTTAAAATGGAGTGCTCTTTCTGCATAGGAGGCATTTTGAAAATTTTGCTAAGTGAACACACACCTCTGGGAGCGCCTTTACTTCCACCTTTCTAGTAGCAGGAGCTACAGAATATATTATACTTAACTTCTTGTCCCACACAGAATCCTTCTAATCCTAATTTTTAAATATAAAGGTGAGTGTCTTAACAGAAATTATATTAATGTGATGATCTACAGTAATTTAATACTCTTAAATTAACAGCTTAGGATTTTATTTTATTGTTTTTTCTAAAAGAAAGAAAATGGCATGGAGGAAAAAGTACCTATGGGAGAAACATGTGACCCCATAAAGTCCCAAAACAGAGAAGAGGGTGCATTAACTAAGCAAAGAGGAAGTTATATTCACGAGTATTGGTCCCTGTTCTGTCAACCCATGCCTTTCTTTACATGTCCCTCTTCTGAGTTTCCAAAACACCCTGTATTACAGTCACTGAGTGCCAGGAACCTCATTCAATTTCCCAGCACCTACCTGGCATATGCTATAAACTTAATATTTGCTAAATAAATACATAAATAAATGAACAAATCCAAAAATGACAGGAAAAAGTCTATAGTTAACAAGAAATGACCTTTTATGAAAGAAATAGATGCTAATATAGAGAGACTACCTATTTAAAAGGGGGTAACAGTTCACAGTTTTGGCACTGGACAGAACTTCAGAGACCATCATGTATACCACGTCATTCAAAACAGTGGCCTGCCTCCAAAGTGGGATTCAAGAAGAGCAATTCAGAAATTATTTATATTTTTATCCTTTCACACCTATATTTTAATATGTTTTATGATATTTTAAAATCCCTGGGTGGCACAGTTAAGTGCCTGACTACTTATCAAAAGGCTGAAGGTTCAAACCCACTCAGAGGCACCTTGGAAAGCCAGTCTGTTGATCAGTTTCCAAAAGGTCACAGCCTTGAAAACCCTGTGGAACAGTTCTACACTGCTTACATGGGGTCACCATAGGTCAGAATCAACTTGAGGAGAACAAACAACATGATATATTAGCATGACATCATATATATATACACACACACACACACACACACACACTATGCTCTGGTAGCATAGTGCCTAAAGGCACTTGACTGCTCACCAGAAGGCTGGCGGTTCAAACCCACCAACCACTCCTCGGAAGGAAGGTTGGGCAATCCTACTTCTGTAGTGATACTGCCTCGGAAACCCAAGGAGGGGTCGCTATGAGTTGGGGCCGACTCGATGGCAAACAACAACAACAACAACATACACATACATACACATACACACACACACACACATATACATATGCATATATATATATACATGTATATGTGTATATGTTTATATACACACAACTTATAAAGAGTGAGTAGTGTATTTTTTTGCAAATAACACATACCTTGTGCGTTTGTTTGCCAACTGCTCCCACTCCCTGGGAAGTATTTTTATAAGCACTGCTATACCAATTTTTTTTAAATGTTGCTGTAAAAATAATAATAATAATAGCATAGTGCTTTTACAAAAGTAACAGGAGAGGGAAGGATAGGAGCTGTTAGCAGACAAATGTAGAAAGCTCACATTATTTACCAAAATATACGGCACTCAAAACCTTTAGCTAATAGAATGTAAACGTTATGAAGAAAGGCATTATTGCTGTTTTGTGAGTGATATCCCCAAGTACCTAGAGCACACTGTCTAGCACATTGACGCACCCAATAACTCACTGAATGAATGAATTGTGGCTAAATAAAGGAATTGCAGAAAGGCTATCATGCAAGCAAAGTCTGAAGACCATTAGCTTAGACCAGTGCTATCCAATATAACTTTATGTGATGATGCAAAAGTTCTATATCTGCACTAGTCACATGCAGCTCTTGAGCACCTATAATGTGAGTAGTGTGCTAGTGTGCCTGAGGAATTAGATTTTAGTAGTTTTTAATTTTAATTCATTTAAACAGTCACATGTGCCTGGTGGTTAGTGTGTTAAGTGGTGTAGGTTTAGAACATCAAAAAACGGAAAATGACTTAATATCCATTAAGAAGGACTATGTAAATCAACTCTGATTTTCCTAATCATCACATAATATATAGTCATTTACAAAGGATGCTGGACAGAACAGAATTTCAAATCCTCATCGACTCCAGACTTTCTGAAGCAATGGAGGATGGATGAACCCCTGAAATGATTACCCTGAAAACATCTTTAAACCTTAAAGCAAAAATATCCCCTGAAATCTTCTTAAAACAGTTTAGCTTAACAAAGTAAAAATGTCTGCCTTGAGCATAATGCCCTTTTAAGAACTATCTATCTGGGATCAAATTGACAACAGCAACTCAAAGATTAGATGGAACCTTAGGGCGGAGTGAGAGAGCTTACATTAATGGAGAAGGAACACTTAGAAAAGGAGGGTGAGCATGTTACACAACTCAAAGAATGTAATCAGTATTACTGAATTGTGTAGGTAAAAACTGCTGAATTGCTGTGTTTTACTGTATATACCTCCAATAATAACAACAAAATAAACTTAACAAAAAGAAAAAGAAAAAAGGATACTGCAGACATATCCACAAACATTGATGTAGAAAAAAGCCTACAAAATATTTCGTGAAAAATGTGATAGAGGAGTATTTCAAGTACCATCCCAAGCATGTTAATAAAACACACTGACACACCCCATGAATGTTGTCACCGCTTAGGGGGATTTTCACATTCCACTTTACAGGTACTGTTTATATCCACTACATTAATTTTATAATCCGTGAAAACAGTAAAGCTACTGGATGGGCAGGGGTACATCATTCTCTTTCTTCTAAACTTCCTAATATAGAAGCACAGTTCAGTGTGGAGTGTCTACACAAAAAACTATTTTTGAAATCTCAATTCCAGTGTTAGATCTCTCTCCTGCTTCATGAGGGCAGAGTTAAAGAGAGAAGAAAACGTGAAACCTTTTTTTGTTGTTAAGAGTTTGTTTTCAGCCACACCCACGTAGCAGAGAGAAAGGACACATCAAACAGAAGGAGGAGAAGCCAGGAGAAACATTTTCTGCTGACCCAGATTTTCTCTCTGGAAGTGGAGATTAGTTATCTTGATTACTCCATATTCTTCCAAGAAGGCATTCCACAAGGAAGCAGTCCACTCTTGAACAAAAGAAACTTTCTTGTTTCCTTAAAGAAAAGGCAGTTATGTGATATGCTGTTGCTAATTTTGGAAATATCAACTTAAAGAGTTTAGATACAATTCGACATAAAGAACTTGAAAACATACTCAAGAGTATGTTTAAGCCACTGAATTCTGTGATTTTATCTTTCATGGTTTGCTTCCTTAAAATGCTCACAACTGAAAGAAAGTGGAAATTTATTTGCATTTTGATTTATGATAAACATTGAACACCAGGCAACTTCTAAGGCTATTATGCAAGAGAACAGTCTATCTGTATAATGCTTTCCCATACACAATCATATCTATCAATGTGGGGACATTGGCCTCTTATGGATCTCTTTTAATCCAAATATTACAAATATTCTCCACCGTAACTTATGCCATTCAAAATTAAATAAAACGGAAATGAAAGAATATGATAGAAACAGCCAGAGGATATGAAAGAAATGCTTAAAAGAAAAAAGAAAAACAGATGATTCTCATGATCACAGTTTAACAATCCTGGATATTCTCTCAAGAGAATAATAATGGATGACAGTTCACTGATCATGTTTAGTGAAAGAAGGTAGATTCACAAATGTAAAATATAAAATGATTGGTTGTGTCCATGCACATGCAGCGAGGCTAACTGAATGGCATCTTTGGATTCCCTTCATCTTGATCTCATGAAAGTCTGGTTACATATAACAGAGAGAGAGAAAGTGAAGCTAAAAAGACTGTGTGAATTACTTGAAATCACCCTGGAATTCATCCTAAATTAAGACTGGAAAGAGGTTCAATCTTTTCTCTGATGATTTAGATCTAGCTAGTCTGGACTGGAAGCTCTGGTAGCATAGTGCCTAAGGCGCTTGACTGCTAACCAGAAGGCTGGTGGTTCAAACTCACCAGCCACTCCTCGGAGGGACGATGGGGCAATCTACTTCCTAATGATACTGCCTCCAAGACCCAAGGAGGGGTCACTATGAGTCAGGTCTGACTGGATCGCACATAACAACAACAACAGTCTGGACTAGCAAGTGAATGACAGTCAGGGGTTTCAGAAGGGCTGGCCTCTTGTAAGCAAGATAAGCAAATTCTCACCATACCAGCAGCAGCAGGCCCCTGCTGGCTTCTCACTCTGCTGACTCATCACCTTGCCAGCCACACCTTTCCTTTTTTCATTATAACTCCATCCTGCTCCTATAAAGATGGGGTACTACACTAGTCATCACCCAAACAATATATTTTCTTCTGGAGTTAGGCTAATTTCAGTAAACTAATTCTTGTCCATGGGGGTTGAGCCAGGTGAACCAGGAAGGGGATGAGGTTGAGCCAGGAAGGGGATTTGGGGCAAGGTGTTTTACAGGCAAAGGGCAAGAGAATTTTCTGCTTCTGAGGGATGAAAACAGGTCATGTATTGGTCCATCTCTGAGGCCATAAAACAGCACTAAGAAGGACTGTGGCTTACAAAGTCAAACACAATTTCTAATCTATTTTCTGTTGGTGCAAGAGCAGAGGAGAAACTTCTAAAGAGCTACAAAGACAGCAAGACAGCATTAAAAAGGGACTAGTCAAAATGGATAAAGACATAAGATAAACAAGAGAAGTAACTATTCAAAATATCAGACTAATCATCAGATAATTTATCTTCTGCTTGACAATGTTAGGAATCATGAGACACTACACGGACTTCATTCATAATAGCTATAATAATCAC